CTGCTTATCCCGGTAGTGAAAGTGACTGTCGTGGCGCACAGCAATATTTGGACGGCGTTAAAGCGGAGTCTGAGGCACAGACTGCCACTCACAGTGATAAAGCTTGTGTTTCTGGTCATGGTGGTGCTTCAGCAGATTCAGACCCTGTGGAAAAGTTGCAAAAAGCGTCTGGTGTTTCAGTGAAAACTCATAGTTCTGGTTGTGGTACTGATTCTGCTAGTTCTGTGACAGGGAAGAAAAAGCATGTCTGTCACACAGCAGTGCCGGCTAGGACTGAAAGTGAATGTTCCAATGGGGACAGGAGTGAAGATGACAGGCTGGGCTACTGTAACTCTTTACTATCAGGATGTCCCAATAGTTCCCTAAAAAGCCTCCAGTTAATCCAAAATGCTGCAGCCAGAGTACTGACAGGAACTAGCAAGAGAGATCATATCTCTCTCATATTAGTTTCTCTCCACTGGCTCCCTGTAAAATTAGAATTTAAAATCCTTCTCCTAACATACAAAGCCCTTAATGACAAGGCTCCATCGTATCTTAAAGACCTCATAGAGCTTCATCACAACAAAGCACTTTGCTCTCAGGTTTACTTGTGGTTCCTAGAGTCCACAGAAGCAGAATGGGAGGCAGAGCCTTTAGCTATCAAGCTCCTCTCCTATGGAACCAACTCCCAGTCTCAGTTCGGGAGGCGGACACCCTCTCTACCTTTAAGATTAGACTTAAGACTTTCCTTTTTGATAAAGCTTATAGTTAGGGCTGGATCAGGTGACCCTGAGTCTTCCCTTAGTTATGCTACAGGGCGACAGTGGTGGGTAGAGCAGCCATCTCTCAACCGGAAGGTTGAGGGTTTGAAGCTCAGTGCCTGCATTCCACATGTCGAAGTGTCCTTAGGCAAGACACTGAACCGCCCCCCCCCAAGTTGCCCATGATGGTGGCGCATATGCACGCAGCAGCCTGAGGCCCTCGGCTCCAAACAAAATTTCGTTGTACATGTCACAATGACAATAAGATAAAGCTTCTTCTTATGCTGCTATAGGCCTAGACTGCTGGGGGTCCTCCCATAGTGCGCTAAGTTCTTCCCCTCCCCTTCCTGGGTAGGGCATAGTATTTGGTTAAAAAACAAAGACTTGCATCTTTCACAGTGTATGGGAGCATTATCAGTTTGGATCGATCCTTGACTTCTTGACTGTTGTTCAACTACACATAATAATTATCTAATGAACAACTCAGGTAAATCTCTGGTCCATATTATACACACCACTGTGTTTAGTTTGGGACATGTTTAAGTTTGCTCAGGACTGCAGTTTTGGGGCTAATCCTGTCATAATTTCATGGGTCGGCCTCAGGTCATATTTTCTATATATGAACAATAACTCACAATGTACAGTTTTCATTGTTTCTGTGTCACACAGGTGTTCATCTCTGTTTACTGTCACTTTGAAGTCTTTTCACACTCAGCTAACTTGCATTTGGCTCATTTTGAGAACATCTTTGTGACTGAGCCACCTCAGAGTTTAAGTCATTTCCATAAATTGATCTATTGTAAGTCATGATTTGATTTGTGTTCATGAAACTGTACATTTTCTGTCACTGCCCTAACCAGTCCTTCTTTAAGTCTCTTGCCTTGCTAAAGGATAATGGAAGGAATGTCTGAAGTACTATATGTGATGATAAACCATGTTTTAACAGTAAGTATAAAGCATCACCATGGGCCCCTAAAACCTGTTGTGTTTATTGCATCCCACATTAAAAAATGTGTCAGAGGGGACAAATTACAAGATGCGATGTTCAGAGGTTTCTGGAGAGAAACATTCAAGGAAAACCATGGTGCTATTAATGTCCATAGAGTGTTAACACAATTTTAAAAGGATGTATTGCTGATTAAAGTTTTCCAAGTCAGAGAACATTAGTAGACAACACAACAAGATAATGGACAGCAGTATACAATCTGTTTCTGGAGGATGTGAAGCAACCACTAGGTGGCGACAAATCGCCACCAATAACACAGTGGCAGTACAAAGACCTCAGTAACCTTAATGCAAAAGAGGACGGTCCTCCCACTTCATAAGGCGCTGACAGAGCAGCAGGTTATGATATAACAACTGTAAAATGTTTCCCCGTCACACGTTTCTTTTATGCGATATTTAAAACGTGTGGAAGAAACTGTAATTTAATTGTGACTGTACATCCAAAAGGCCGTTTCCAAATATGATTGTCTTTTATCCTGTTTAGACGTTTGAGTCTTTCCTTTGAGTTTTCTGGTGTTGGAGAAAAATAAAAATACTGTTGTTGATGATGAGAGTGATGTAACCTATTGTTATCCTCGGTAACACGCCCAGGTGACGACCGGAGGGGGCGGGTTGGAGGGGGCGGGGCGTCTGCATCTTCCGTCCAATCCCACCACGGAGGCACCTTGCGAGGCGGCGGCCAGGACTTG